TTATTATTATTATTATGCGTTGTATATTACTATGATTATATTGGAGACATAAATGTGGTCTTATTGGTAAGATACACTTTTCTTGGATTATAAATTATATAATTCGTTAAACCCTTTCTTATAAAGATACTTGCTTAGTCATACAGTTATTAATTTTACATTTGTATTATCGAATTGATGAAATGTAAATATTTATAAATCTGAAAAAAAATATTAAACGATAGATTCTTATTTTGAAAAATTTTTATAAAGATTTCAGTGCCCGTGCGATTCTAATGAGTAATTGCGATATTTAAAATATCCATAGTTATTTCGATAATGTTCGTAAAATATTTATATGTAGTCGTGTTTTATTAAAGAAATAACGAAAATTGTTTAGGGAAGAACGAGCGTTAAATTAAAGATTAAAATGACTAAATACGCATTGGAATAATTCGACGTGTACAAAATTTATAACTGTCAAATAATCAAATAAATAACAAAGAAATATATTAGAATTATACAAAATTTTCAGTGCGAGGTTCTTAATTTAATAATGTATTAGTAAAATTTCAACATTCAATATCAAATATTTATAAAATAATATAAATATTGTTGCCTGCAAATCGTGCGCGTGACTTTATCCGAATTAAGTCATTAGCAAAATGCTTAAGATAAAGTATTATAATAATTTATGATTAAAACTAAATTCTCAAATAATTTCTCTCAAATCGTATAGAACGATTTTATTAAACGAACTTGCTCTACCATTCAACAACAAAATAACAAAAATATATTTATAAATAAAAATATTAAACTTATTATTGTGGTTCATTTAATTATATTTGCGCATAAATTGCATTAGTAAAGCTTTTTCTAATATTCTATATAAATATGTAAGACTTACTTGCAATTACAGATAACCAGTCCAATCATTTTCTTCATATTTTAATTAATCACAGACGTTTAATTAAACATTTTTCAATACAATAACATTTAATTTGATGGAATAATAATAATAAAATATCTTTGTAAAAAGTAAACTCTTTAAATCATTAATTTTTAAATCATTAATTTATAACGTCAAATAGGATTTAAAAATATTCCGAGACAATTACACAGTTATTTTTATTTTAAACACAGATTTAACCGACATTATAATGTAATAAATACGGTGAAGAGCAATTTGTAATGACAGAAATGAGAAATCTGAAATCTAACCAGTTATTTGGCTTAACCAGAAGGGTATTCGTATTTGTTAATATAGTACACTTGCCTCTCAACGTGACAATTAATCAAATTAATTTACCAGTGGTGAACTCTGTTTAAATAAATATATCGAATAATTCATTAATTATATGTGATGATATTAAGTTGATTAGGTAGAATCAAACATTTACAGAATAAAGTGATTCTAGGAAATAGCAATTACATGAAAAATGTCGCGGGAAAGATTCGCAGCAGAAAGTGTAATTGAAATTCTATAATCGACAATGTCGAAATACAAAAGAAGCTACAAAAGTTTGTTGGCAATCACTTTACTTTTAGCTAACGCGAAAATATTTAATCAAAATTGACACGAATGAAGATTAGATAAAATAGTGGATGACGTTATAAATGCAGCCATACGCGGATTTATACGATACGAATTGCAAAAATATTACCAAGTATTATACAAATCGTTAATACGGATAATAATAAAGAAAAATAAAGTGATTAATACTACGATGCTAGTGCCTATTTGAGGTAGGATTTTGTTTTATTATTTGAGACATACTGTCGAATAAATAAAAATTAAAAAAATAAACGTGTAAATTATACTCAAACGTATCGAAAAGTTCACAGTATTAAACACAAGAACAAAACATTTCACGCAAAATTAATATGCATGCACTTTTTATTTTAGCCGTAAGTTCATAATTAATTATACTTAAGCATTAATTTAGTGGAAGAAAAAATAAGTTTTAGAAACGGAACTTTCTTCATCAACAGTTAGAACGTTTTAATCTAAGCTATTGATATAAAAATCTTTAAATAGAAATAATAAGTTTGATAAATCAGATAAATAATGGATTATTAGATATTTGAAGCAATTGAAAAAATTACAGTAACTCATTGTTTCTTCGTCATTTTAAAAATGCTTGCAATTAAAAAAACACTAAATAACTCATAATAATAAAGATCGGCTATAGAAAGAATTACTTCTAAAAATTTCTTACACATTTTTGATAAATATACTTATTGCTTTTAAAAACTAGAAAAAAATAAGCAAAAAAAAGCAAAACAAACATCCGAAAAAAAAAAACGAAAATCCATATAATAGATAAAATTAATTGTATAATATTATTATTATTAATACTTCGCCGCTATTGTTTATTACAATTTTTTTTTTTTTACCAATATTTGCAAAATTTACTTTGCCGATAATTCATTATCGAACCTAATATTAGACATCTAAACTACTAATGAAACTACCTTGATTGGTTTGTGAGAATCAATATCTATGGCTTTGTATTTTACAATTTGCGTGTTGCTCACGCAATTATAGGTTTGATTGGATTATGAATGATTTTCATTTATGACAGTGGCACTTCATCACGATTTAGAGACAAAGAGTAAAAAATTAATTACGTTGATTTACCAATAGATAAATTTGCTTCTTAATAGTTTAAATAAATTTGTAACCTTCGATTTCGTTGTTCGTCTGTATTTGACAAACGTCTCCTCAAATTTATTCTTAAAAAATAAATTGTAAATATACTTAAATATCATATTGAATATATAATCATATTACTAATGATATTTAAAAAAAAAATTACTTTTATACATTATTTATGATAAACTGTTTAAAAATAATTTCTGCATTGATCATTTCACGTGTTTAATAAGAAAAATTTTACATTTATTTTATATAGCAATATGCATCTTGCAATTTAATCTTTATTTTCTTAATTTTATTAATCGATCGAAGCTTGTCTATACTAATTACGTAAAGTAGAAATAAATGAAAAATAGATCTTTAATTGATATATATTATACGCAAAAATATTAAGTATTTCTATTTTATTATTATTTTATTTTATTTTTTATTCAATAGAAATGTGAGATTAGACTAATTAGGTGTTAGAAAGAGAAAATTCAAAACATAAGTATGATTTACAATAAAATGAATTTAAAAAAAATGAACCCTCAGCTTAAATTATAATAAACGTATGATTAATTTTAATTAAATTACACTTAGATCTAATTTTGTAAAATTCAATTAACGTATATTTTATCAAAAGCTTATATTATAAATATTAATTGTGTTTCGCGATAGAGCACTTCAAGATAAATAATGAACATATTCAATATAATTTTTGTATACAGATTATAATTTTCAATTAGTGTTCAGATAATAATGTACAATAAATATGTGTGTATGCGTAATCAATGAAGCGAATGAATAATTTCACAAAAATACATTTTTTCTCTAATTTTGAAGTTTAGCATATATGTACGTATCTGCTAATTAATGTCTGAATACCACAAGCGCAAAGACAATAATGCATGAATATATATTTTTTCTGAAACAACAACTTATTCTGCTTAATTAAAAACTAAATTATGCAGTTCGTATTTCTTTTCTTTCTTTCTTAACATTAAAATTGTACTACTAGCATCTTATATACACATATATATATATGATTTTTAAGCGTGTAAGTCACATCCTGTATCACTATTATTTAAGTATCTATGAGCACATCGTTAAATAATATTAATAATTTGTTAAAGTATATTTAAGTGATAGGAACAATCACTTCTGCATTAGCTGTTTTTTAATTTTCTTTTTTTCTCAATGTAATCATACGAGTGCATAGAAAATAATATTATTATAGACTTAAATAATAAATTTTTTTTTTATTCTATGGAATTGACAGAGTTATTTGATAGAGTTAAAGGCAAGGCTTTGAATGAAAAATGTTCAATTTTCTTGTATATTGTTTAAAAATATATTAAACATTTATGCAAGCATATATCAATGTAATATCTTGTTTAAGTAATACTATCATTTTTACCTTAACAATATTCGATTCGATTATGTTAAAATTTGAATTTTATTTTATTTTTAATATCTCTCTACTATATTATAAGTTTTGATGGATAAAAGTGCTTCAGCAGCATTACTATGCTTCCTACTTCACATTATCATTTATAATATATATATATATATATACATATATGTATATAACTTTTTTTAATATTAACGTTCCTTTTACAATATTTAAAACATATTGTCAGGTGCATTTTTAAATACAAATTTACATTTGATTATTGAAAAAATTAGTTTAATTTAACAAAAATAGATATTTTCTAAAACATTTTTTAACTATTATCGCTTAAAAATTTCTTTATATTTAACAACTTTGCTTATACAAGTTCTATATTTGTTAAATTATTAATTAACTGAGGTAAGGTCGTACATTAAAGAATTTAAATCTAAAAAATTGATATGACCTTGTACCACAGTTTCACATGCTTTATATAAAATATTTATCAATCATATGTTCAATTATTAAATAAATCCACAAATAACCTTGCAATCAGCCTTCAAATGTTTTTTACGAAAATTTCTTATTCTACTATCGTAACAATAACTTTATCTTCAACACTTTTGTATTTAATAAAGAAGATAGTTTCCATGAGACACTGCATTAAATTATAATAAATATAAATTTATAAAATTATTAACTTAAATAGGCTAGGCACACTGTACGTGCATTTCAAATGCAACGATCTCGAATATACATCAATTTAAATTGTTAGACTATAATTATGTCTCTTATATACATTTTTGATATCATTAATATTTAGCTTCATAATCATATATTCTTGCATATTAGTTAAAACAAGAATATGTTACAAAAATTACAGAACCATTTTAATCATCATTATATACAATTTATAAATTCTTTGTATGCGAAGGACTTATTTCGATTAAATTCAAAATTATATGTTTAAATCCATTCATTAGTGTCATTACAAAATATATTTTTTTACTTACTCAAATATCATATACCTATCTTATAATTCATTAATATAATGCAGTGTTTTGTAGCAGTAAAATGATACTTCATTAAACTTCCATCTTTAACAGCCGTGTTTAAGAATCTAATGATTCGATTAAATAAATTGGGATTTTTTCCATCTAACAAGGCTTGGCTGGTCTTTCGTCACCCAATGCTAGTTGTTTAAGTTAAAAAGGTGCGAACAGTGGCACGAATCGCTTGCCGGCACATCGGACAGTGAGTAAGCGAAGAAGCACAGAATACGCAGGTGGACAAGTGACTGCAGGGAAGGAAGACGACCGAAAATTCTTTATCCATGCAAACCCTGCATAGTCGAGATTCTTTTAATCTTCGGTTTTCCTCTGCTAAAGAAACTGATAGAGAAGATTATTTTTTATTTACATTCGTAACATTAAAAAGTACTCATTAATTTATATGAATTTTTTTAAAGCTAATTTGAGAAATTTACCAGTTTCTTCGTGAATCGTGCTCCCATCCTTCGTCTGCAGCTCATTCTGTGACTTTATTTCGGAAGTCGATGTTGCTATTTCATGTAATTCACTGCTTTCTTTGCTTTCGTTATTCCTTGCAGTTTCTGGTTGGACATTTGAACTACTTGCAGACTCGGCAGTAGATATTATTTGATTTAACAAATGAGTGAGTTCCGTTGACGGCGAATCAGATGCTCGATTAATTCTGAAATTTTTTGACATTAAATTAGCAAATTTATACGCAAATATGTGCAGACAAGTCGAGTAAAAAACATTTTCTATTCCAAGGTTAAGAAGAGAAAAAGGATTGAGAATAACAAACGAGAGAAGCGCGCGTGCGCACGCGCAATATTTCTCGCTTTGCGTAATAAAAATTAAATTTTTTTTTTGAATTATAAGAGCATTTAAAGGATGAATTGATGTATGTAATGTTAACAGAGGCTATGCAAATTTACATTAAAATAATGTAATAATATAATCTTATAAATGCAAATAATGCTTCTACGAACATGTTATCCTCTTCTCTTAATTGTATTTGTGTGGCATCTTCGATGAGCTGGTCGGCATTGACGTAGGGTAATCCTGTTTGCTCCATTCTTCGTTTTAATGCCATTTTAACTCTACCAACATGTAAACCTATTTCTAGCGCTGCCTAAAAAGTACAACGAAAGTAAATGTCTTAAGAACTTTAACGGCATGCTTTTGCCAGTGGAACATAATTTGAAAGGTGAGACTAACCACAGCTGGTGCCGTGCCAAGCAATCCTTCTAACTCAGCATCTGTCACTCTTCGAATGTGACGTTGTTGAGATATAACGGTAGGAGATGCCGATGGTATTACGGAAACATCGGAGACGTCGTTAAGAGCACTGGCTAATATCTACGGCATTGAACAAATTGAATAATTAATTGCAGATGATGCGATTTAAAATATATGAATCTCCTGTCCGCTATAAAGCCAGTGAAAAAGATTTTTATGCTTACCGAAGGTTTTGACGGCTGCGTGCTTTCCACGCACTGTTTAATAAAGTCTTGTCCTCTTACTAAAACAGTATATCCACATTTTGGGAACCACCTGGCATGTTCTATCCAAACATCATCGTTCTCTTCCCAATTTCTCAAGCCTCCGCCACAATGAAAACATCTGACTTGATCTTGTGATCCTACATTGGTAAAACGTTAAGCAATGCTTTTTTCTGTCAAAGCGTTTTTCATTATTTTAACCTAATTAACTTTTGCAACATTTGGCAAACCGATCAACGCAGTGATCAAGCGCCGACATATTAAAGACAATTTTTTATCGCTCACCAAGATAATAAAAGCCAGCATCAGCTAACATTTCTGGGGTCTGCTTGAGATCGGTAGGCCATCCTTGAAAAGTGTGTAACCTGCCTTCGTACGTTGCATGTTTTGGCTGTTTTGGAGCTAAATGATTTTGTATGCGTAGCTCTGTAAAGTTGGAGGTTGTGCCAGGCAGCAACTTGACATTGTCAAAGTCCACTTTTTCTGTTGACAAATCTGTATATCAACACAATTGTCACATATTTTCATTTATATTTACTACTTCTCAAATACATGGTAGAAACATAATTAGTATAATAAAGGTGAAAAAATTGAAAAATTTACTTTACGATGCTAAGTCTCTAGACGAGTTATTGAGTTATTATATCAAAATGATTAAAATCTCGTAATTATCAGGTACCTGAACCCATTCAGCATTCAACAAATGCAAAATGAAAAGTGAAATAATAACGGTGATCATTGAGGCAATTTATGCGGACGTAAGCAGCAAAGGTTTGCTTACTTGTTGACATTGCCAAAATGATTATATTTAGATTACATCGATTTATCTGGCTAAATATCAATAAACTTGATTGTGATTTATATACACTTGTACATTGCTTTAGTTGAATATTGGCTTTGCCAAGGTCAATGAAAAATTACGACCTTAACTTTGCAAATTGAATTCCGAGCCCTCTTATATTAAAGGTAATATATCATAAGTAGCGAGAAATTTATTGTAATAATAGTAATGATTATCATCATCATTATTATTATAAATTATAAATTATAAATTATTATAATAGTAATAATGATGATTATGATGATGATGATGCTAATGATAATAAGAAAAACAAGAAACTATAAAACGAATATTAATAAATGTTAGATGGATTACTAGTTTCATTCTCTTCTTCTCGTAAATAAAAATCACAGTTAGGAAAGTGTTTTCTATGCTCGTCATCAGGAACATCTCCAAGTACCCAATGTCTTAGTTTACCTCCGCAGTGAATGCACTTGACCTATTTAAAAAAAATTATAAAATACATGAAATTGTAATAATATTTATAGAATAAGTTTAATTGGTATATTAAATATAATAATTACCAAATCTGCCTGTTTAAAATAAATAAATCCTGATTTAGCTAATGACTCGGGTGACACGATATCTGGTACAGGCCAATTTTTAAACGTACTCAATCTTTCGTAGTAATTCATCGTTTCAATTTGTAAAATTCTCCATCTTCTTAGATCTTGGGTATCGCCATCCACAGAACTCGAATGCCTTGTTTCATTAAACGAGGATATAAGTGGCACGTTGCAAGTCTTAAATGGTTCTAATACAAATTGACATTCTGGACTGGCCTGCCGATGTCGAGTAATCACTTTGTCATTTCTATTCCATTCGGATATTGTAATACCGCAGAGGAAACACTGTACCGTCCGAGCTTGGCCCGTGTAATAAAAGCCTGCTTTAGCTATTTGTCCAGGAGAGACGGGAGAATTTGCAGGCCACTCTTGAAACGTTTGCAGTCTATTGGTTTCATAGTTCATCTTTGGATTAGTAGTACAAAAACTTGAAGAAGATCGATCTGAAAATTTTAAGGTATTATCAAATTAACAGTATCCTATGGAATCCTTAACATAAAGCTTTGAGTTCACATTCAATATCTATTAAAAATATTAATCGAGCTTATTGCAAATGGACTATTCCATTAAATTAGTCAATTTAATCGAGCAGAACAATAAGAGATTATTGAGGGCGCACAGAATGCGCAACACGATTTTGTACTTTAATTGTACGTAATAATAAAAGTTGGTAAAGTATTTTGTATATACGAGTATCCACCACAGCCAATTAACGAATACTTAAGTTTATTGGATCTAGCAAAATCTAGTAAACACAAACTCAGTTATTTCTCGGCGACAAATATATTTTTTATCTATACGATAATACGTGTTTACCTCTAATTTTGAAATACTATTTACATACAACACGTGTCACTGGGATGACAAATTATTATTTGCCTTCGATAAAATTTGTTAATTTTATCGTTATGGCAGACAGATATGACTATATGTCAATTTATGGATTCATTTAAGCAATAAAGTACACATATAGTATAATTGAATTAGTGCTATAAAATTTTAATGGCAAATATATCATAGCCTTTCAAAACATGAATTAGAGTGTCAATCGTATAGATGTGTAAGAGAAAAATCAATACACGATGCGAAACGTTAATTTAAAGGTTTTTCTTTCACATTGGACAATGAGAGGAAGAAAAAGGTAATAGTGATTATTTCGTACAAAATAAAAGAGCCAAACGATATGACATAAAATTTCATGTCCCTTGTAAAAAATTAAACTATTATTATTATTAACGATTAGGGACAAAAATATTTACAAATAATGCCCTCGATGCCACGTTAAGTCAGCGATTCAATTTCATTTACTCTACCAACAGCGCATTTTCAGCAGCTACATTCAATGAACATGAAAATTCCCGTTAATGATATTAATTTTTACACGAAATAACGTCACTCTCACCACCTCCATCATACCCAACTGTCCCAACTCTCGTGTCACATTCAACTTCTAACTCCATTAAACGACATTAAACATCCGAAGTGGACACGCATCTTTTGCGCCTAGGTTATGGCAGCTGGAAATTTAATTTTTATAACAAACACCATGAACGTCATTATCATACTTATCGTACTCCGACGCTGAAAATAATTCGTTGGGCCAATCTCCGCTCTATTTTTCTTAACATGAGGCAAAAGTCACCGCGCTCGTATACTCCAACACATAAAGCTAATAACCACCCGAAGGATCTCCATTAATCCCTTATGTCAGGACCCGATCAACGGCTAATATAATACAATCGGCTGATAGAAGTCAGGGGCGATCGATGCAGTAGTATCGTAGCAATGCCAATGATCCCCGACAACGACGATCGAGCCGCGACTCGGTCAATCGTCCTTATCACGCAACTAATCCACACGACCTGAATGATCCAGAGCAGACAATCTACGAGTCGATCGCTGCTATGATGCCCCTTAGACCCGGAGATACGGGACACGAGTTATCCGCGGCGCTCCGTCTCGACATTAACGTAAACGTGGGGAGGGGCGAGTGGACTTTCGCATACAAGAGGAAAGAAAACGGGGAGAAGCGAAACAGAAATAAATACCGTATAGGTAAAACGCATGTGATGCGACTCACGGAATTTCCCATTATCATTGCCGTCGATACCTCGGCTTTTCCAGCAAAATCTCGGGTCCATCGACCATTGCGCATTTTGGTAAATGCCGAGCCTAGCGCGTCTTGCCCAATGTGAGAACGAACGATTGAACTCTCGACAGTTGCACATAAGCGAGCGCTTGATTTACTACGTTCTTTTTTAATCTTTATTTAATTATTATTATTATTATTATTCTTTTAATGCACGACACAAGTATCGATCATAGAGTCCGAAAAGTTAGTAGGACTCGTTCTCGGTGCCGGTTGTAATAATAAGGAGCTTTTAGGTAACGACGTGCACCACTGTTTCTGGGAATACGTATTGGAGGGGAGGAGTGTCTTGACTATTCCGAGAGCCGTAATATTACATAAATTATTTAAATAGCGTTCGAATTAATTGGGATGCTGATTGGGTGGCCTACTCGATACCTTTAACGTACCGCCTTATCCATTTATTTATTTTACTTTTCTGCAATTCATTATGCAATTGGTTTTGCTAGGGTATCGACTATAATAATAATAATAATAATAATAATAATAATAATAATAATAATAGAACAGAGTTTAGAATGAAACTTAAACTCGTTGCTCTCCTCGTTGAATTGTTGAAAGGAAAGCGATGTATGACCACCGACCGATGAACATAATAGAATTGCCATTATTGGTAGGCGCGTGGCTCGCGATTAATAGAATTTAATAAACATATTGACAATCTTTGCGTATCTATAATTGTAATATCGTATGCTATTCGATACCACAATGTTACCACACTACTGCCATTCGAAACTATTGTATTTTCAATTACTCGATTAGCTTAATAAAGTTCATGGAATCCATATCGGAGATCGATCGAGAAAATCTTACTCTGGGAAGAATCAATGTTATTTTATTGATTTCAAGGTATTGCACGAACTACGTGGCTGTGTCGTCTACAACAGCAACAATAATTGAACATTAGTATGAATAACCCGATGTTAATTGAGCGAATGGAAATTATTTACAACAACCTTGACACATCTCTTTAAAATTACTAATATTCGTCATGCACTTTATCCTCGATAGTTTAAATGATGTCAAATGTGGGTGGCAACGTTCGTTAAAATTATTACTCTACAACTTGATAAACTTCACGCGGACCATAAACAATTAATGCGTATAAAAATTTTACTGACAATGACGGCTAAACGAATAATGTCGAATGACAACACTTGAATATTTTTTTTTTTGTTTTTTTTTGTTTTGTTTAAAGTTTCTTATTACTAATGAAGATACTTATTACTAATAAAACTTATTACCAATAAGATGCTTCGATAATTCGACATCGTATCGTAGACAAGTTTTTGTCAAATATTATTCAAATATTACAATATTATATATTGCCACTTTCGCTGTATTTTTATTAAGCACATTTATAGATTGCTATTTTAAATTTATTCATTAGACCTTGTCTACCGCGTGAACGGGAACGATTATTTTAGAACAGTTTACATTATATAGGCTTTTCCTATAAATATCGTATAAAACTGCAATTTCATATTGTCCTCGAGACTTGCAAAATATCTAAATTTAAGCAATTTTTAGTTGTATCAACGTTTTATGAGCTTCATCGATTGTTAAAAATTAAATTTGCATAATAACGAATAGTTGGAATGTGTGAACGATAAGAACATCGAACGACACTTCATTTCAATTATCTTCATTTAAAACGTACTTTTTTAAAATTATTTTAGTGGAAAAAATAAAGCACATTTTCAATTCACACAAGGTATTAATATTTTTTGTCGAAAGTTTTTGTTACTCTGCGTGAAGAGTTCGTTAACAATTTAACAAAAAGTTAGCTTTAATTTTACACACACGCGCGAATAATTATTCAAAAATTTTCCATCTATTGCGTGTATATGGTATGTCTGTGTATGTGCTACTAAATTTAAATAATTCAATAGCACAGTATTGTTTATTGCTAACGATCGATATGTACTATCGATATAAATACAATATAAGGGTTTTTATTTTAATTTGGAATGTACATAAAATATATTAAAAAGAAACTATAGGGTCGCGGTGTTGAACAAATAATAGCAATAAAACTAGAGATTAGATTAAAAAAATAATAATTAATTAATAACATTCTTGAATTTAAACATTTCGATATGATTAAAATAAATACGAAACGGATTATATTCGAACGATTTTGGCTTTCACTCGATTTTCAAGTTATTTCAATAATATTTATCACAGCGATATAAAATATGAATTGTTCGAAAGTGTTATTATTTCAATAGAATAATGATGGATTATTAATTATCTTTTCTACTTAATTAACTTCATAGAATATAAATATACACGTATATGTATATTAATAATAAATCGGTATGCTGAATTGATTACACAGTCCATTCATTTTCATAATTAACATAGAAAATTAATCCATGTTAAAAATGTTGAAAACTATTTGCAATTAATAATTAATGTTAATTGTTCTGCTTTCATATTCAATTTTTAACGTAATTTTTCTAAGACAATATAATAAATAGAAAATAATGAACAAAGATTTAGAGAAATTAACGATCAAAACACGAAATGGTTTAATTACATTATATTATATAAATAATATAAAAGAGAGGGGTGAAACATAAAAGAAAAAGAAACATTACTCATGGACTAATTTTAATACTTTATTGATGATTAAAATTTAAACAGTTACCAATTATTAAAATAATATCGTTCTAGATGTTATTTTATAAATTACCACTTAAATTATGCTCAATCTCATAATTAAAATTACGTTTATTCGTTGATTATAAAAGTACAATTTACAATTATTTAATACGTTGTATTAATATTATGTACCCATTATTTAATTGTTTAAGCGTAAATAAATTCAATTTTGTAATTATGATTCAGGCAAAAATAAAAAAGAAATAAATAAAAATCAAGCTTTTCCATATATATATATATATATATATATATATAGCTTATAATAATGTTGGTATCCTAATTCATATTCGATATAATCTTGATAAAATAATGTGCTTGATGTACAAAAATCTATTTGTATAAATTAGTAATTATAAGAATTTTAATAACAAATGTGTATAATTTTAATAATATTTTCTTAAAATACCAACATTCATCGCATTCTTTCGTTACTTATTTTTCTATATATGTATTTTTTAATATTCATTGATAAATAAATAATAAAACGAATAATCTTACACATTTTAAAAGTCAATCTCATAAGTTAATCATTACTAATTCAAATTTTAAACATTTGCTACATTTATAATTTAATAAAATTATGAAAAAATTAATTCTTAGATAACAAATCAGATTTTATTTATAATTAAATTTTATCAAATGGTAGTGTGAATCATATCGCTAATAGTTATTATAATTTAAATAGCTTTTAAAATATTTCAAAAATATATATATATACAAATAAGTTTTAAAATCTACATTAATGACACAAATATGTCTATATTAATAAATATGGCATTTCATTTAACAAACTCAATAATCAAAAATACCATTTAATTTGCTGCAATCGTATATAGAGCAATTAAAAAATTATAAAAATAAAATGAATATTTTTAACAATGATTTATACGACTATGCATATTTTATAAATATTAACAGTCAAGATAATTATGACTTAGATCGACTTAACTTTAAAAGTTCGTCTTAAAATAAATAATAAATTATTAAAATTAATTAACATACTATTCGTTCAACAAAATGTACTTAATATTTTTTACTTCCTGATCTTCAAGTACACTTTTCAAATGGTTCGCAGATTGCGATTCTTCAGTAAACATTTGCTAATAAAAACTTAAACAATTTGTAATCCTTATTTTAAAGATCGTTAATTACTACTAAATATTTGTAATAACTATTATCGGCAATTAATATCGGCTCGTATTTCTCCTTTTCATTTTAATTTGATTACAACAAAAAAATGATTAATAAAAAAAGACTTAACAATGAAGAGACCAAAATTTTTTTATGTTTGTTCTAAAACATAAGATACACTATAACAAATTGATATATTTTTCTCATAATGTAAAATTCACAATTCATAATAGTTATATATAAAATAGATTATTAAAAATATTATTTTTAAAAATTGAGAAATAGTCGTTAACTATATTGAAATTCTTTTAAAAAATTTTTGAAATTCTCGTAAACTTTATTCATTTAACAAATGTAATTTGTTTTTCATAACGATAATATTTTTATTATTTTCTGTTTTTATTCCAAAGTATTTTATATGCATTACACGATTATAATAGAAATTTTTATTAAATCAATATCAATGTAAAATAAATGATTTAAGAAATCGATAATTTTGTTAAATATTCAAATTAATTTAATTTAAATCACATTCAATACGAAATCATTTGGCATGCAGACATTTGTGTCTGTGTAGTAGTCTCAACATTGCAAGTTTTTTTTATGAACAATTTAAATTAAACATAACGTTTGGTATTAAAATCTGATCAAAACATTTAAATTGTTGCCTTAATTATAAGTTTAAAAAGACTTAAATTATTAAATAACTATGTTTACGCGTACCGTTTATAAATGGCCTCAACACACAATTTATTAACAAGCATTTCTGAATTGTGGTTCTTGTTTCTTATTGAAATTTAAATTCATCATTTGGCTATTCAAGTCATCAACTATTACTGGAGAATAGTTAACATCTAGAAAGAAGAAGAAAAAAAAAATATATATATATATATATATAATTATGATTTTTGCAATTTATACGAAAACTTTTCATGTAAAATACTCACTGTGATAAATATTATAATCATATAAGTTTTTTAATTTTTGATAGACTACTGAAACTGCATTGTTTAAAGACAATTGTCTAGTTGGCTGTACAGATCCATAATCTTCAATAATCAATAGATTATTTCTGTATACTGTCACCTATGCAATTAATCCTTATTTAATATAACATAAATTTGTGCAAATATCACTTAAATGAAAATAGCTAATATACACAGAGTCGAAACGATCTTAGCTACTGAAATACTAAACTAACTACTTTCAATAATTTATTTAATAAATACAAACTTTATGAATGAAGCCAACTGGATTGTAGCTTGTTAAGCATTCGAAAGAACACATGGCTTGTAGAGTTTTAGAAACGTAATCCGTAAGAAGTGTCACATATTGCATATCAATCGACTCTTCCATTTCTTCCAAGTCATTTTCTTCACTTATGAATTTTGCATTACGACTTTTAACAATTTTACTAACTTTTTTATTTTTAGATTGTAATATCGCTTCATTAATACATCTTTGTCTCTCTGCTTGTTTAATGGGACCAATTGGCTTGGCCCAACGAATTTCCCATAATTCTTGATCTGCTACACCATCCTGTCCTAATACGATGTAGGGATTAAAATTATTTTTAGAACAAAAATTATACGTTCGTTTTTACGCAAATATAAATTATAAAATTAGAATGTTGAATTTTTTACTTTTTAACGACATTGTATTTTTTTTAAATATTAAAAAATTCTAACTACTCAAGCCATAATCTAAGATTTTTTATATATTTAAAAAAATTATAATTAAACTAGTTGAATAATTCACGTAAAAAAATGCACTAACTTGTCAAAATTTTCATGGCTTTTTCAGCCAATTCACGGGTTTCGTAGTGAACAAAGGCAAAATGATTAATTTTTTTCAATTTTAAAATTGGTATATTGGTGGCTCTTTGAAATAAGTCTCTGATTCTTTGCTGAGGGATGTTCATCGAAAGATTTCTTACAAAAAGTGCAGTGACCTATATAAAAGTAATTCAATTTCAAATCCCATTACAATATCCTTGCACTATAACTTTACAAAAAAAAAACCATTTACATTTTCCATTATTTCCTCATCCACGGGCTCTCCAGGTTCTGGATCAGCCCAATCAACCGCCACTTCGTGATCCCATAAAAGAACTCTACCAGGAATAAGTTTTCTTCTAGCCATGGCTGCAGATCTGTGATCTTTAAATTCGACAAATATAAAGCCTGTAAAAAAATGTATACCTAATATTTAATAATTTAAGCATTTTTGCCAATAATGTATAAAAAGATTTATAAAAAATGTCAAGCATTCCGTAGAGAATCATTAACAGAGAGAGAGAGAGAGAGAGAGAGAGATAAATATTAGCACCTCTGTTAAGGGATCTATCCTGAGCGTTTGGATACAAATATATATTAACAATTCCTTCCATCAATTTGCTTAATTCTTCCAGAAATTCTTCCTTTGTTTTATTTTTTGGTACACCCCCAAAAAATAGTCGACAATTGTCAACCGACTTTACAGCACCGATCGGGTGGCCCGGCCTAATTTCATACCCATCGAGCATCTAAAAAATAAAAAATTTAAACTTTCTACAAGTTAACTTCACCTCGATAAACAACATAAAATCGATCGAGAGATTAATTATTCTAAAAATGTGAAATTTATACCAAACAAGCTTTACGTGCAATTTTGGCATCCGTATACAATGCAAAAGCGTAACCACGCGTAGTCCCAGAAAAATCCAACATTAATCGAAGCTCTAATAATCTGCCCGCTTTTTCCAATATTGGCATCAATTCATCCTCGTAACAGTCTCTCGGCAATCTCCCAAGAAATATCTCTGCCCCTTTTATACGCTCCCTCTGCTCCTTCGTAAGCTCTGGTGCGGTAAGGCGTCGCTGTCCATTCTCTTGCACGAGCTCATATTGCGTTTTGTACATCAAATCCAATAAGCGAACTGTCACCTGACAATCGCTGGATACCGTCGATAAAGTATCCGACGTACTACTTGCTATTGTCGAAACGCTGCCTCGACGGTACTCGCTCATCTTGATAATTTCTACAAAATTTATGAAATAATTACGAAAAATTACGAAGAGCAGGTCAATCGCGCATCATCGAAAATAGGATTTTGAAAATGTTTGCGCTTCAACGAAATGGCCTCGTTCGTTCGCCTTAACTCGATTAACCTGGTACCTGGACGCCTTATCTGGAGATCACTCGAATCCCGCCGAACGAATGTTCTAACGATTTCATCATCGGCCATTCAATTGTTGCGCTCGACATTGTCAAAAATGTCGCGCGCACCATTGACAAACTCGGCGGCTATATATTATTCGCCACAAAATCAAGGAAATACCTGAAAATCGCTATTTACATACCTTTGTGAAAAAATGCCGAGGAGTCGTATTAGCGGCCGGATTATATCGCACGTGCGGTAGACGCGAAAATCTTTCTTCTTCCGAGCTTGCGTTCGTCAAACTATCGCCGCGTTTTAAAGAATTCGACGAGACGACGACAAGAGGCCGGTTAATAGAACTATAACTGCTCGAGTGACCGTGGTAAGGATTTTTTTATATACGCGTAAACACACACACACACGTGCATATATATATATATATATATATATATATATATATTGTTTGTTTGTTTTTTTTTTGTTTTGTTTTATGAAACAACGTTGCCGCCCAGTCTCATCGTTTCTTTTAATGTTCGTTGGACGTTACGAGGGGCAGCGCTTAAAAATCCATTTCTCAGATTCGTATTCGGGCACTGTCCCTTCCCGGCATGCAATTCCAAATTCGATTCGTGGAAAATGCCAGAGTAGCGTGGTGTTGCGTTACTAGGGTTGGTCATAGGCTTTACAGTTTGGCTTTCGCAGTTGCCGCGCGTAATAAGTGGGAAGTACTATCTGCCCGATGTTTCATAATAGAATAGAATAGAGTAGAATAGAGTCAAAGCTGATCGTCCATTGTCGTTAAAAATTGCTATTTCGCGATTTCCCTTCCCGCCTTCACTGGTTTTCCCAATCGATTCGATTCCATTCGATCGATGGGGCCCGTCTTTATTCGCCGATTAATTCATTAATTTGTCATTAGGCGTTAGTCGTTCGCCCGTAAGTATCGATCAAAGGGGACTTGTGCCTGTGCGCGTGTGTTGGGCGTATTAATTTTCTTCTTTAATTTTCATTTTTAATTTTAATTTTTTATTTTCATTGCCTTGTCGAAGGCTTCGCTGAGCTTTCGCTTTAAAGGCTACGTGAAAGTAAATATTGTTGCGCCGCGATGCTCTTGTGCATCGCTAGTAATAGTTAAATTCTTCCTCGCGCGTTATTATTTTTCTTATGACTTGCCCGTTTTAATAAGAACAGAGCCGCGGTCTTATTTTATTTACCGTTGTTACCGAATTTCATAATATTTTTCATATTTATTTTTATTTTTAAGCTCCTAGGCGAAATGGAGAGCGTTGCTTATCTTTGGATTTCGAATTATGAGAATCCGATTTCCGAATGCTCGGGTAAATTACGGCAAAAAATTAACTAGCGGCGATTATATATTTTCTTCGCTTATACGCGTGTTTTGGCTATTTTATAACAATTAGAGGATTAAATTAATGCATCGCACTTCGTTGCTATGGGTTTTTAAAGGGAAATTTACCCTTTGGGCCCCCCGCAATTTCACGAATCATCAGGATTTCATTTTAATCGGTCGAAAGGATAAATGCCAATAAAACTCTTAATTATCTTTCTATAATAATTATAGGCACACTTTTTTTTTTTTTTTTTTGCATTACATCCACGAATCAAGCAAATAATACAGCAGCTCGTTATCGCATTAGACTGTACGTATGAGATTCGTGTAATTTTTTTTGTTTTGTTTCTATTCTTTTGCCTTCTCGTCCATTTATTTCTTTTTACGCATTTATTATGAAAATCATACGCAATCGATATTTTTTGCACTCCCATTGACAAATGAAAGCAATCGTGGACCAATATCTCAGTAACCAATTGTATTATTATTAATCTTGTACCTTCATTACCGCCTACGCACGCCTATTCTTATTTATTTATATTCGCAATAGACTCGTATCTTCGCGTATGCTCGGTAACATCAGTAAAATCGGCAAAACTTTAGCCGCGTTTTATACAATTAAAGCACACGCTCCTTTAACGATACTCCCTTTAATATTGCTGCGGACAATAATAAATAATATTCGACGATCGAAATTACATAAGGATAAGCGAAATTGCTACCACCACCATCATCACCTCCTACATTAATCCCTCCAAGAAATCTCAAGTTGATTTTTAACGAGACCGCAAGCACACTGGCCAATGACATAGACGATAGTCAGATCGTCAAACGATGCTAATTAATTAATTAGCATGATTTTCTTGTAAACTAGCATCGATCGCCGCCGGTTAATAAGCCAGTTGCATTCGCCGACTCGTCCGGTGCATTCAGATATAGATTAAACGAGATTAAACGAGATTAAACGAGTGTGAACCGGTAAAAACGAGGCGGCAAAAAAAAAAACGAGTCTGTTAGCGTATAAGCGCGAGCGAGACCCTTTCACGCGATTATCTGGGAAATTCGCTCGAAGACAGCGAGCTACGACTACCTTCCCTTTAAGCGGAAACGCGCAAGAGCGATGGCCTTGGTAGGCGTATAAGTAGCGAAAATAGCGCGAAAATAGCGTGAAAAAGGCATAATTCTTAGGCTGCGAGCGTGAGCGAAGCTACGAGAAAAGCACCGCTTGCCCGTAACGGGAGTATGGCCTCGTAAAAGACTAACAACGACACTGGTTTGACTTGGCAAGAAACGGGGCTTGCCGATACGTAAGGACGCTTCACCACTACGAAGGCACGGGGGTTTTGAGAAATAATATGAAAGTATGAAAGTATGGCGCGGACTGACTTGTAGTGGGAAATGCTCGACGAGCGAGCGAGATGGCATGTATTTATATTTGTCAAAATGTTGATGAATGGTATAGGTATATATAATGGTATAGGATAATGGTATATTGATCAGGCGGAATTGTAACAATGAGCTTTTGTAGCTGGAAGAGCGCATTATTATTAAAATATTACATGCTAATTAGGATTATTGTTACTTGCTGCTTGTCCCTCGTTCATCTGGATAGATTAATGATTTTGTCTACGTACGTAATTGTTTCGATTAAGCTATTTGATATCGGTTTTAATTTCTGCAATTCCGAGTTATCTATCGTGTTAGCATTGCCAAGTGTATTTGTCTTTTATTAATATTTATATTTCTTATCCATAAAGCCTAAAAATAAACTTAAAATATTCTTCGCCCGCGTATTTACTTCTTTTCGAACAATGGGATGTCGTATAAAGTTTGATAATAATTTGTATATTGAAATTTTTAATAATCAAGGATATTAAAACAACTTTCTTTTTCGTTTTTTTTTCTTTCATTGTTATTTATTTCTTTTTTAATAAAAGAACATAAACAAAAACAGGAGCAAAAATAAATAAATAAATACGTAATTTCAATTTTTTATTTATTACGTATTTATTAGCCTCAACTCAAATTATATCTCATGAATTAATTAGCATGAAAGTAAAAATAGATAATTGAAAGTATCATTCATTTATTTTGCAAATAATTATCCTTTTCAGACTGCTGCAGAAGTAAATGTCAAACGGCTTGCAAGGCTTTTCTTTATGAGAAAAATATATAATTCTTCATTATTAAAAATCCCGAATATCTAGATGCGAGTGTCGCGAACAGACGAAGCAATGAAACGAGAAATATCGATGAGGAATCTTTCTTTTTTTATATCCAAATAAAGAACGAGATTTTATACAATAAAAATATTATTAGGCATTAAAAAATAAAATATAAAGATAGGCCAATATTATTAAATAAATGTATTGTTATCTTAATAAGCAAAAGCGACCTAGAGGAGTAACCGTTCTCCTGTAATATTAATACCACCGAAATATATAATGTATTCAATAATTTATTACCATTCCAAGATTTTTCAATGCCTACAGGATAATTATAATACTTTCTGAAATTGCAGCTAATTTATTTTATAGAATTATTTACATATGCCGACACTTCACATTTTATTATGTAAATGTGTGAATGAAATTTCCATTAATTGGCCAAGATATAAAAAAAATTGGAAATCAATATTTGTTCATATTTTTAAAGTTATACAAGCAGCTATTTTATTAATATATCACCTACACAAAAATAACTTTATATTTATGATCAATTTGAATTTATCAACAGATTTCTGAAGAGAATTTTTTATTTTGATAATTACAACTACAAGCTAAAAATACAAAAAAAATTGGATTGTACACAATTAAACAACGTTTGCTTTTTACGAATAAATTATGATCAATATAAATAATTAATAGCTCATTATTCTTTATGTAGATTTTATTAATAAAGTGTACAAAAATATCGTTACACTTTAACAGTAATGAGTATTTTACATAGATAACATCGATCAAACTTATTTTGTAAAATTAAATTAAGTTTTTAGTTTTTGATATTTACAGAAACAGATTCCATTTTATACTACATCTTTAAATATGTTCTTATAAGGTAAAAAAATAATTATACCGATATTATACAATATTTACAAAATTGTCATTTCGTAATGGCAGTCGAATTGTTAAAAACAATGCACAATTAACCTATCACGAACAATCTATTAATATATAAAACATCTAATTTATATGATTAAAAAATTAATAAATACTAATCATCACGAATAATGATATCCTCTAATTCATTGTCATTTAATCTGGGATTAAAATTGTCTTTGTCGATTTGCTGTTTAAGCGAATCAATGGATTCTTTAAGACCTTTATATTTTTCTATCGCACGTAAAGTTTTATTACTCAATTTCTTAGTACTTAAGCTTTTATCCACTATGCAGCATAATTCTTTTGCCAAATCTTCAGAATCCTTTATTTGTTCTATCACTTCCAATTCTTCTTTCAATGCTGCGTTGAATATAGTAACCTGTCAAGCATCACAACAAACATAATTAATTATTTTAGGTTAAAAGTCACTATAAAATTGAACACAAGAAGGAAATTATGAATATAGTATATGGATGGTTAGTATTTTTGGTATTACAATTTATAATATAAAGACGTTGCTGAGTTTAGTTTAAAATATTTTGAAGGTACTTTTGTTACTATTGATCTTAAATTTGAAGAATAAGTACGAATGTACGATGTGTAGGCTATAGTAATTTTTGTTTTGTAATCTGATTGATGAATTATGTACAACCAAGTGGCATAAAAGTTTGATAAATCATTTTCTTTAAAATAGTAGAAGTCAAACAAAATTTATAGCTGAAAATTATTAATAGATATTTCACATGGACAAATAAAATATTTTTAAATGTTTTCGAGTAACGCAAAAAAAAAAATATTGCAAAATATTGTAAATTAATCGTTCCTCATAAAGAACATTCAACAATTACAACAAGAAAATAAACTTTAGGATAAATCGAGTACTTTTCGAATTTATTATAAGTTATAAAATTCATGCAAGAAAATAAAGCTTTAATAAAGTTAAGCGAGACAGTATAAATATAGGAATTACACCTATAAATATATTTATATGCTGAATAATAGATCATTTAAATGTAATGGCTAAAGTGATTTTCTACCTAATGATTTAGTAAATTAATAAAGAAAATTTAGTGAAACAATCGTTAATATAGCAAATAAACAAAAAAGTGTTTACTTAATTAATCAATTCTTATTGCTTTATAATTATAAGGAAAAAAACATCATTAGGATTTAGTTCATTTGTCATATGACAATCGATACACGCTCAACGTTTGTAAGAAGAAGCCGTGAATGCTAAATAAGTATATGATATTTGATTAAAATAAGTTAAAATAAGATACTCGATTTGGACGTATAAGTACGATAATCAAGTGTGAATCTAAATAGAAAATTACAAATGCAGATTAATATAAAATTGTCGAGAGAGAAGTGAATAAAGAATAATTTACCCTTTTGGCTTCATTTTGAAGATCTTCCAACTTTCTTTCCAAATTATGAAATTCTTCATCATTGTATTGAACTGCCTGGCATTTATCCTCCTCCAATAATACATTATTGGGTACACAAATGAATTTATCGACAATATTCTAAAATCATTTTAATAATAGTAATAAGTACTTTTGAAAATAATTGTTTTGTAATAATTGTCATTCTTAAATACCTGTATGGTTATCAAATGTGGTTGCATATTTTGTAGATAAGTTTTTCTTAATTGTTTAATATTGTTATTCAGAATTTCCTTTCCTTTGACATCTGGATTGTATTTTTTTTCAATCGAAGCATGTATCTTCTCGCATCGAGTATCCACATTTTCTTTTATCTTCTGGTTTACTATAACGATAAACAAAATCAACATTGCTTAATCCTGTAGTTAAATTTTTATTTAATTAATGACTTTAATATGCTATATATAGTAGTAATAGAGTTGTCCAAATTACGCTATTTCATAAAATAATAAGGCGAATATAGATAACTCTTAATTAAATTTTTGTATCCAATAAATGTAACTGTTAGATAATAAATTTTACCAATCACAGTATTATCGATACGTGATAATTTAATGCTTCAAATATAGTTAATTTGCGCCTATTTCTACTTCATTGAACTACAGTATTGTAATATATATATATATATATATATATATATATATATGCATACATATATTTACGTGCACGCAAATACCGATTGCAAAACAATAATTATTAAATGTTTTTAGAGTAATTTATACAATAATAAAATTAATGGCAAAAAATTTTTACCCGTATAGTTAACTCGTACTATTCATCTATACTTTCTACCAAACATTTTAATTCTGGAAAACAATACAAACTCAATCTTACTACGGGATCTTGTATTTATTCATGTGGGTTGGTTCAACAAAGAAAGGTATACAAGTGTTATAAAATATGATGGTTTCTTTTATTTAAATTCTTAAAATAATACAGCATAACGAAAAAACAAAACACATTGAAAAATCATACAAATGAAAGGCACAATCGGAAGGTACTCTTAATTTCCACAGCCGATCGATTAATAATTGTAAATCGTCCAAAGGCGAAGATTGCTATAAAATAACATAAATAATAAACAAAATAAAATACAATATAAAAAAAAAGAAAAAAAAACCAAAAAAAAATATCAAAGAAATGAAAGAGTCAAAAAAACAACATCCGCGACGGAATCGACTGTAGTAATTAAAAGTAAAACAACAATGTAACAAAACGACGCGTTGAAAACGATAGGAGGGAAATAAAGGGGGAGTATACGGAGGGGAATTGGTATTGGATGGAAGGGGTGGATAGAGGGGGGGGGAGAAAAAAGAAAAGCACTAAGAGTAGCAATGCGGCGAACACAACGTCATGCAATGATACGGAGGCAAATAAATTGTTGAATTTGTTTGGCGGATGGATGGATGGATGGATGGATGGATGGATGAACGAACGTTTGTCGCGCGCGCGTGTGTGTGTGTGTATGCGTGCGTGCGCGCGTGTGTGTTTGGTGTCAGTGGCCCCTCCGTAGAAAATGCCTCAGGCACTGGACGAGTGTGATCTCTAGTCATGATTTTGCGAAAGTCCACATGAAACCAGAGCACACTCGCTCGACGCCCGAAACTCGCCAAAACAAAGATAACGGTTTAGCATTGCTACTAGGATAACAAAGAGATAGGGAAAAATGATAAGCAAGGGTAGAGGATACAAAAAGGGCTGACGACGCAGGCCGAACAAAGGCAGAGGCGGCATCAGCGGAGGTGGTGGCGGCGGCGGTGGCTGCGGTTGCGGCAGTGACGACGACACCACCGCATCGCATCGGATCAGATTGGATCAGATCGAATTGAATTGAATTGAATCGAATTGAATCGAATTGAATCGAATCGAATCGAATCGAATCGAATCGGATCTGATCGGATGAGATCGCGCGTCGCCAGGAATCCCGATTAAAGACAAAGGCAATAAGGTGCCACGCGCGCGCGAACTCGAGAAAGAGCAACAAGCCACAGAGGAAAGGAATGGAAAGTCTCGAAGGCAAGCCTCTTCTCTCTTCCCCTCCCGCTCGTCCGCTCGCCCGCCGACCGATAAATCGCCTTTGCAAACTCTTACTGGCTACGGAAACGGTCCTCGAGTGCATCCCGAACAGCTGCATCTGGTACTCCTCGTCGCAACGTCTGCTGAGCTCGGCCGATCTGTCGGAGTCGTTCGCCATAATCTCCTCCTCCCGGTCTCTGGCAGCGTGGCACCACGACAACGACGTAGACGACGAGGACGACGACGACGAACCAGGGACGCTTTCGCCGAACACAATGGCGCGAGCCGCGCGAGGCCACGCGTAATATGGCGCCGCCGCGGCGTTTCTCCGCCGAGGTTCGGGACCGCCGCCACTCGGTCGAGCGACGACGGAGAGGGGCGATGATTCGTAGGTTTCCTGCCTCCTTTGCCGGCGATTCGGGGCAAAGCGCGATGGAGGCGGGGGGGGGGGTGAAAGCAGAGGAACAGAGTTCGGTGAGTGTTGCCGGACTTAGGCCGCGACTTCGTTGCCAAGCCTTGGCTGCGAGCGGTACCGAGAATGACGATGGTGGTGGTGGTGGTGATGGTGGTGGGGCGGTGGTGGTGGCGACGGCGGCGGCAGCAGTGGTGGCACCGGTTGTACTTATGGTGGTGGGCAGGGGTCGCGGGTATTGCGGTTGCTGATTGGGAGGAAGGAGAAGGGCGTTCGCAACGACGACTAGAACAGATAGATGGATGGAGTGTCGTGTCGGGGGATCCGTGGCGCCTCCTCGCGGCTCGTTGTTGTCCTCGGGTTCGTTGGCAAAGTTGGGACACTCTCGACGATCTTCGGCGCTTAACGTCTTTTACCTCATCTCGAGGTTGCTCCCTGCTTCGCACCTTGGCGTCATCGTCGCGCACATCGCGGGATATTTCGCGACTTGCCGCCGTTGTAGCGGTCGCGTTGCTTCCGATGACGATACGACAACTTGTCCGTCTCCAGTCGGCTCTGTAATCTCAATTCGGGTTTTCCTCCAAGTTAGAATTGCTGACTAGGGAATGTAGTGGTAGAGAGAGAGAGAGAGAGAGAGAGAGAGAGAGAGAGAGAGAGAGAGGCGGGCAATTCTCCTTTGCTTACGAAAAGGCGCGATATTCTTTGTTTCATGCGTCCTATGTGTATGGGTATTGCAAAAAGAGATGTCTTCTTACGACGGGTACTTGCCGTCCATTAATTTGACTCTCTGGACGGGTAATGTTTTTGTTTCTTTTTCTTTTCCATAAGTACTTGTACAGCCCACTATTCGGATAAGATTATCGAATAAAGCGAAAAAAAATATGGAGCGAAGAGTTGAAATTTATGTCAAATCGAACAACATTCGTTTTCGGGCACGACGTTTGATAAAATTAACATAGACGTGATTCTACATTCCCGGGGCTACTTGGAGATAGTTCTCGGTAACGCTTGGAAGGATACAGGACGCGAGTGCTCCGAGGAATGCACGATGTATGTGATTGTTCGCAGATCACGTTTTAAATAACATTTTCCAAAAAAAAAAAAAAAAAAAAACCATTCATTTCAGCATTTAGCCCATAGAAACGATACTTTTTAATTCAACGTTGGGAAGCTTTATTGAATTTTTTCAACAATCATTAATTGGAATTTGTCGTTAGTCGTTTATGGCATAATCAATCGAAGTCTAATTTTATGTATTTACTCTGTTTATTTCATCTAACAAAATGCACAGTTTTATCGATACTACTTATCATAGAGTGTATTTATTGATTTGATGTATTATTTGAATAAAAAACAGTATTATCTAGGCAATGTTATATATATATATGGCGAGACTATAATAATGTATGAGAAGCATTCCCATGCATGCCACTTTGTTAATTAATAATCAGACGTGAATTTTTTTTAAAGAAAAAAGGAAAAGAAGTATCGTAACATTTTGAATTTCGAAGCCAGGCACTGTTTTAACTTAATATAGAATTTCATGCAGCCGTACGGTGAAATTTGAGAAATTTTTGAGAATATAACAGACAGGATGGACGGGCGAATGGATGATTGCACCGCATGATCTTTGCTTTCCATCGGACGGTAATTGCGGTTATGCCCATAGGTGGCGTTATGTGCTCGTGTAGTGTATACCTTTAAGGTTAGGAGGACGTTTAATGGGGAAGAAAAAGTTTATATAAAAGTTGTTGCATTGAGAATTTACTCTTACGTAGAAGTTAAAATGCGGTTCAATGTGCTACAATTCGTTTTACCGGAATCGAAGAGATATGCTAATTTACCAGACAGTTTTATCAAACGAAAAATGGAACAAGTAATTACTATCCTCACTAATTTTATTTTACTAAAAATTATTTAATTAATAAGTGATTACCTGACAAGTATAATATTGATTTTTCACTTTAAAGCTTTTGCAATTTATTAGCAGCATTTTACAATAGATGTAATCTCATAATAATAATTGTCTACAATAGGATTCTATATTTTTTATAGATTTATTATAAGACTCCTCCTCATCCAAATTATCTTCCAAAAGTACATCAGCGTAAGAAGTTTTATTTTGAACTGGCCAGACCTTGGACGGACACTTTCAGATTTCAAAACCAGGATAAAAGCGATCACGTGCACGTGGAGCCTATCAAATACTGGTCATTTTTTCGAGGGGACAGGGTAAGTGAATTCATCAGGTTTAAATTAAACGCTCTATGCCATAATAGTTATAAATGTTGTCATATTTTTATATTTAGGTGCAAATTTTAATTGGGCCTGATAAAGGAAAACAAGGAATTGTTAAAAGCATCATTCAGGAAAGAAATTGGATAACGGTTAATGGATTAAACACTAAATTACAACTATTAAAGAAAACGGATAAATTTCCAGGAATTCCTTTTGTCTTTGAAATGCCATTGTTAGTCACAGAAGATGTATTGCTTGTTGATCCATTCGATCTGTAAGTATTAATATTAAAATCATGCCTTTGAACGAATTATAATTAAACAATATTGCCACATATTTATCTTAAATTTAACATAAAGTTAAATCTGTAACTGGCGTATTTAAAAAGTAGGAATATTATTTGTTCTATTCAATATTAAATATTAACTATTAAATATTCAAATTAGTTTAGTTATTGGTATATATTAATAAATTTGAGAAATCGATAACTTTTTACTTTTTTTGTCCAAATAATTATGGACTGTACGACATCAATAAATCCAAAGAATATATAACATACAACAAAGACCATTTAATTTAATGAATGATTGTTCTATATATAGGTTTTTTAAATTTAGAAATAATTTGTGATATGTTGGTAATGAATTTTCACTTTGAACATAATATTTTTAATAAAGCATTATTCTAAATAATTCAATACTTATAAGGTACTACTATAAACTTCATTTTATATACAATTTTATAGAGAGATTTTTAACAAATTATATTATGGTAGTTATTTGTTTAAATAATATATTTATAGCTGCTAATTTTATTTGCAATGTATGGGTGCTTATACAATTTGTATTGTATATTGTTCATCTATTATGAGTTTATTTTAGTGCTGACATAAATCACAATTTAAATTATTATCTTGGTATATAATGTCTTATGAGCCATATCGTAAAATCTTTAGGAATATAATTAAACTTATGCAAAATTCTCAAACGTATCAATGTCGCAAATCATCCAAAAAAAATTAAAAAAAAAAAAAAAACCAGTTATCTTAAAAAAAGATATTATTCTCTAGATTTAAATATCTTAATTATTAAATAAATTAAAGTCTAAATTTTTATAGTAATATTTTTATTATAAAGACATAACTGGGACAAAGTAATTGGTAATATATTGATTGTCTAATATTAATATTAATTCAAACAATTATTTTTACTTTGATATGAAAAATTCATTTGATATTTTTTCCCTTACAATATGCAATTTACAGGGAACTCAAATGTTTAATGTATACATCTAAAAATTTGTTTGAATATGATATAAATCATTGATGTTTTTAGTCAATATCAATATTAATTAAACTCGATAGTGTCCAGATTATGATTAAATTAATTTTTATAAATATTAATTAATGTAATAATAAATTTAATTTATCCGAATCGTATATTTCGTAGTAAACCCACAAAAATTGAATGGCGATACACAGAAGATGGTGAACACGTACGTGTTTCCGTTCGAACGGGAAGAATAATTCCAATCCCACCTTCGCATTTTTCGACAGCTGATTATAAAAATCCTGCTTTATATGTAGAAGGAGATAAAGATACTACAAAAGAAGAAGTCGAGAAAATAACTTTTAAGGTAAGTTAATGAATAATTACTTATCGTATCGAGTACGTAATAAAATAGTCATTTGTATAATTAATTAAATTATTTTAGCCTGCTTTGAAAACATTTGCAATGGATATCATGGATAAAATGAATATAAAAGAAGATCGTTATCAGAAGCCAACATATTGGTATTAATTAGTAAACGGTTTTTTTACACTTTTGTAAAAGTAATTATAAATAAAAATAATGTATATGTAATGTATATGTAATAATATATGTAATGTGATTTATCATTACAATCTTAATTATATTGATTTATATTTAAGCATTATTAGTTAAGGAAAATATAATTTATATTTATAAAATACATCGTCTTCATGCACCATTCTGATGAGATACCTGACTTAGCGTAATATTATTTACATTAGAGGAAGTGAAATAATAGATATGTCGTATTTAATAGATGTAGTAGAGTACAATGTTATTTATTGTTACCAGTAGCTACATTGAAAAGTATTTTGTTTTACAAATCAACAACATGTAGAAAACAATTAGTGTAGAAGAAAGCATATATAACAGTCGGTCACTGAGTGCAATAATAATAGTAAATAATAATGAATCGCAACTTATACATTATGTTAGCTCATATACTAAATAAACAAACGAGTTACATAGAAGTCAACATTTTCATCGTTAAGCAACACGCCGAATAATTTGCCACACATGCACGCTTATCACAGTACGATTTTTAACAAAACAAGCAAAATTGAAAAATTAAACAGACAATTTTAATTTAAATAATCCAATATTAATTAATATAATTTCTAACACTATCAACATTTTTATATTAACTCTATGTCTTGGCGTTCTGCTTCCCTGTCTTCTATCATGAACGTCAATTTATTTACTTTTTCGCAGTTACGCGTTACAATCATTCTTTATACATACATTTTTTCACTATATATTTACATAAGGATTTTTTATGTTTAAAATAGAAAGTTAGTAAAGGTAATAGTTTGTTAAAGGATGGATTATCATTACGTAGATTTTATTTGAAGGCACATTTCGAAAGGATCGATTATAAAAGGGTTCGTTATATAATTGATAAAAAAAAGGATAGAACATAAAAATTATAATTTATAGAAGTACCTTCGTCTTCTGAATTTTTGAATTAAAAAAAAAACTAAGTCATGATCCTCTCAAATTTTATTCTAATTATCAATTTTTTCAGGCACAATGTACGCAGTTGGAAATTTATATTTTTATAATTTATATATAACTTGGTTAAAAGTTGACTTTCCGAGTAGAGTTTATTTATATTCCAATTAAAATTTATGCTATAAGCAATAAATATTTCTACGTAAACGCAATGGTTTGTTCAATTTCAATGAAAACGACAGAGTTCCACAACAAAACTGATTATTTAAAATAATAATACTTGAAAAAATTAGAAAGAAAGTCATAAAGTAGTATATTTTTTTAACATATTTTTGTATATATACGGCATTGTAAATCTGTATTTGTATAAATACTCGGTTAATTCAAATGGCTTTTTCCCTGTTAAAATTAAATTGTATGGAAAAACCACTTATATCCGTTATTATTCCTTATTTACATATGGTTTTGTACAGAATTTCCATCTTATTTGTTAATAATAATTTTTTATTTATTTATTATTATTATTATTTTTGTTTTTTATAAAGTAATGGGAATAGATTCGCCTCCGTTTATCGATAATTTACAATTTACCGCAGTTTTTCCACATAAACTTTTTCAACAGGGTTCGTAAAGACTTGTTTGAATATCAGTTCCACGGCGAACTATTCAAAATTACATCTCGCATTTTGTAATATTTCGCATCATATCTTCAGCACACTGCGAGGGTACAAGTTATGACGTAGTAAATCAGTTTTCTACCTCTCTTGTTCTTCGAAGTATTCTTCTTTCACATATATTTATTATTATATTGCACTACCAGCACTTTTTTATTTGTTTACTTATTCATTTTTTTAATATAACTGTAAGTTGCGCGCGCTACATCTTATCGAAATTCGCTTAAAATTTACGATATGGCGAAGATACAAAAAGAGAATACAATAATAATAATAATAATGTTAATGATGATAATAATAATAATAATAATAATGATAATGATAATGATAATGATAATAGTAGTAGTAGTAGTAGTAGTAGTAGTAGTAGTAGAGGCACACAGGGACAATTTGTATATGCTTTTCAAAAACTCAACTAATAATTGTTTATAATATAATCTAAATAATGCTATTCGTATATATTGAACAGTCGTTAAGTTTTTATTTAATGATGTGTATGTATAATCATAAAATTATTTTCGAATGCGTAATTGAGTAAAAATAGCGGGATTGAGTTTATTGGAAATGCAGCGTAAGTTGTACAGTATTGATCGTGAATCGATGATTGTCGTAAGCTCATTTGCTTCAATTATTTACTTTTATTTACGGAGTTCCTGAAAGGTTTTTGAGGACAGAAAAAGTTGCGCAGTCTTCTCTGTTCTCCATTACATTTTTCTAATGATAACGAATACTAATAATAATAGTAGTAACAATAATAATAGCAATTAATATTTATTATTGGTAATAATAGGTAAGAAGAACAAGAAGAAGAAAAGAACTAATAATAACATTAATAGTAATAATTAATGATGACGATGATAAAAATGATAGTAATAATTGTTATGATAATAATATTATTAATAGTAATGGTACTAGTAGTAGCAGTAGTAGTAGGAGTGGTAGTGGTAGTAGTAGTAGTAGTAGTAGTAGTTGTAGTATTAGTAGTAGTAGTTGTAGTAGTAGTAGTAGTAGTAGTAGTAGTAATAGTAGTAGTAGTAGTGGCAGTGGTAGTGGTAGTGGTACTGGTAGTAGTAGTAGTAGTGGTAGTGGTAGTGGTAGTAGTAGTGGTAGTGGTAGTAGTAGTAGTAGAAGTAGTAGTAGCAATAATTATAAAAGATGGTTAAGGAGTAATTGACGCTTTGCTTTGACTACGATTCACGATGACTTTGTGGCAGGGTGCTTGACTAGGAGGGTCACTTCACCGTCCGGTACCTTCTTCATGAAGGACCAGGCTTCGATCCTCGACATCCTGCTCACGTCTCGCTTGTTTACTTCGAGCAGCTGATCCCCTGCTCGTAGAGCACCCGTTTTTTCCGCAGCACCTCCTAATGCAAGAGAGGATATCTTGATAGTTATGTATTATGGAGAATATATGTTCATAAAGTATAGTTGCTCGATGAGCGTCGAACGAGCGAATATTTGTATCAATATTTCGTATTTATGAATAATATAGGAATGGAAAGGGGACTTTATAGCTGATTGAAGCTCGAATGACAAGAAATTTCTTATTTCACACACGTCATACAATACAATACCATTTATCGTCGCTTATTAGCGTAACAAACGTTAGCCTAATGTACTTATTACTTGGGCAAATTAAACGGCAAACTGGCAAGTAAGTTTAAAAGGTGTAATTTGTATAAATGAGGGAGAGGACATTGTGTAGGAGGACAAGTATGTGGGAAAGTAGTATAGCACATTATTAACGAATGCACACTTTTTAAATAGATTTTTTTGTGTGTGAAATTTTGTGTGCTTCATTGCTTTATTAAAGTAATAAGGAATAAATACCCAAAACTCTCTTCCTTTTGTTAAATCATGGCGAATCATCATCAAGGCCCCAGATGTAATGTGTAACGAAGCAAGATCGTTAGGAGGCGAAAGTAAGCAAAATTAGTTGTTTCAATAGAATTGTTAAAAGCGAGTAATCGATAATAAACTCAATAAACTGTAAACGTGCTGCGAATAGTTGTCGATAATAGTAATATGCCATGGATTGACGAGACGAGTAACGGGGGAGACGCGGAATAAAGGAGCTGTGTCATCGGGAGCATCGCCAGGGTCGAGGAAAGAGCTCGGGACAAGGGACAGGACTAAGACTCGAAGAATTTCGTCCGACACCTACCAGTGAATATCTTCTTAATTAAGAGGGGTCGGTCGCCGAGCGGACTGTCCCGGCCACCTTCGAGGCTGAATCCAAGACCGGCGCCATCCTTATACATGGCTACCATCGAGGCTGGACCCCACGCTATGGCCTCCCTCATGCCGCCCGTCTCGTAATCTGTAAAACGCAAGCAACAAACGACTTGAGCTCGGTGTCTCCTTGGCGTCGCACCACCGGGACTCGCCGACCTGGGAGAGACAGGGACGACGACGGACAACTGTC